TCTCTAAATGCACATGTATGATAACTCATCAAATACAAGGCATCTAGGCTATTAATATGATCATTTAAACACTAACAAGCTTAAATGACAAAACCAGAGACTAGATAACTCATCTAATCAACCTAAACAAATTATCAATGCATCACAGGACCAGGAAACTCTCCTAGATCTCTAGCAATGCAACAATACACAAAACAGGATCTAGCCATTTCACCAAGACCAGACACAACATAAATAATTAATCTAAGGCAATAACTAGTCATAACCATGCTAGCAATCTTAGAAACAACTTAAAACAGAACACACACAATTAGAGAATAAATGGAGGGTAGAGAATGATGTAACCAGAGTATTAGTAGCCAGAGAATGGGAGAATGATAGAGAATAAGTAACCTGAGAATCAGAGAACTAGAGAATAGAGAATAAAGACTTGCTCAAGAGTTCTAATGGATAGAGTTTTGCTCTGTTTTCTTGAGTTTTGCGGAAGCATGAACAGCCAGAAGCAACCAATACTCATCAAGAGTTTGTGCTTTAGTAGCTGTAACACAATGGACCACTGAATAATTAATTTATCCACTGATCTTAGACATGTGCCACTGGAATAACTCATGAACTGACGTTTTCCATGGCTTGCATCAAGAGAACCATCAGAATAACACATGAACTAGTATTTTCTGTGGTTTAGACAACAAAGAAACCAATGGATCAAAACAGTTTGTCCACTGGTCAAAGAGATGCTCCATTAAAAGAAAAATATTATCCAATGGATAAAGCATAATGGTGAAGCATTTTCTAAATCTTTCTCTTCCACAAGCTTGATCCAAGATACTAACAAGTACTGACCAAGCTAACACTATATCAGAGTGAGAGAGAAAGGATTTATTCAAAAAACAGAGAGAAAAGAGGTGAGTTTGATCCCAAAGGAGAGCAACAAAGCTCTGATACCATGTTGGNCTTTAGAGAGATAGAGCAAAGGCAGCCTCTAAACCATAATGCTTAACTCTCTACATTGTGAATATTGTTTAGACACAAGATAGAGAGAGAAAGCCACGAATTTAGACTGAGAGAAACTTGTATATTGCTTCTGGTAAGTGTTACAAGTGATGGAGAAGCCTTTAAATAGGCAATACACATGATTAAACAATTACTAAAATAAGGAAACATAAACAAATAATTCTGTAGGGAATGAGATGAAGCCAAAGGGGATACAGCCAAGGTATGGCACGTCCAGGAAGAGTAAAAAAAGGGACAGGAGAGAGGGTGTGGTCTCCATGGTGATAGTGACAGGTCTGCCACAACTCCTTATGCACCCATGTGACTTCTTCTTGTCTAATTCAAACCAGATCCTTCCTTTTGAATTCAAACTGAATAATATATGTTTTATGGAGCTTAGCAACGTCCCTTAAGCCTTCCCACTTCATTCTTGCCTTGAAAGGTAGGTTAGGTCAGCTTGGTTACTTGTGGATCAAGTTTAAATGGACCAACTTCCATTTCAAGTCAATGCAGCATCTTTTCTTGTAGTTGCCTTGAATCCTTAATGGCTTGCTTCCTTTGGTCATTCCCTCTTCATTTCAACACTAAGGTGTCCATATGGACACTCGTATTCATCATTTTTGTGTACACACCATTGTCCATATAAGTTTATACCATACACTCACGTTAACAAAGGATGTACAAGTACTAAGGTGTCCAAATGGACACTCGTATTCATCATTTTTGTGTACACACGATTGTCCATATAAGTTTATACCATACACTCACGTTAACAAAAGATGTACAAGTACTAAGGTGTCCATATGGACACTCGTATTCATCATTTTTGTGTACACATCATTGTCCATATAAGTTTATACCATACACTCACGTTAACAAAATATGTACAAGTACTAAGGTGTCCATATGGACACTCGTATTCATCATTTTTGTGTACACACCATTGTCCATATAAGTTTATACCATACACTCACGTTAACAAAAGATGTACAAGTACTAAGGTGTCCATATGGACACTCGTATTCATCATTTTTGTGTACACACCATTGTCCATATAAGTTCATACCATACACTCACGTTAACAAAAGATGTACAAGTATTAAGGTGTCCATATGGACACTCGTATTCATCATTTTTGTGTACACACCATTGTGCATATAAGTTTATACCATACACTCACGTTAACAAAAGATGTACAAGTACTAAGGTGTCCATATGAACACTCGTATTCATCATTTTGGTGTACACACCATTGTCCATATAAGTTTATACCATACACTCACGTTAACAAAAGATGTACAAGTACTAAGGTGTCCATATGGACACTCGTATTCATCATTTTGTGTACACACCATTATCCATATAAGTTTATACCATACACTCATGTTATTAGATGTTTAAAAATATCCTTTCATTATGCTTTTGCAATCATTTGATTATAGATATAAACGTTCAACATAAAAAAGATTGCCAAACCATTTCTTATAAATATAAACGTTCAACATAAAAAAGATTGCCAACCATTTCTCTGTAACTTTTTTGCTAATATTAATCCATATGAAAGGTGGTCATGTTCTATATAAATTTGTACCATACACTCACATTACTAGATTGCCAAAGTGTTCATGTTCTATAAATATGAACACTAAAAAATGGTCACAAAATTAAAATATCCATGTACACACTACAAAAGGTGTACAAGAAATAAGGTATCCATATGGATATTTATATTCATCGTTTTTTTGTTGTCCATATTTTCTGTGTGCACCGTTATTAGATATTATTTAAAAAGTACTTGTAAACACTAAAAATGGTTTATAAAGCTAGAGGAAGAAATGGTTGTATTTTTTCTTGCATAATGAATCTTCAACTTGTTGTATATATAAATGAAGATATACAGAAATCAATACGGAGACTCTTCTTCTCTACTGAGTTATGTAACTAATTCCAAAAATCTACATAAAGTATGTGACTTGATAAATGACGACACTAGAAAGGTCTCTCTTGGGGAATCACAATACTCTTGTTTAGGTTGAGAGATATCTTTACCTGTTTCTAAGTAAAAGCTGATGACTTTTCTTACAAAGATATATCTTTTTAGAGGAGCCAAACATTAGAGTCCTAATTTGAAATAATTCCAGATGTTCATGAGAAGTTACTGGGAAAATCACTCACATCCAAATCAATTACCAGTTGAAAGAACTCGAAATTCTTGCTCGGCACCAAAGATTCTGACCCAAATACGTTATCATCTTTAACAGCGTTGAATAACCCCGAACAACCCAAATAGCAGAAATGATACGGACCCATACACCTTGTTACCGATCAAAGATGGTATGTCGGAGCTTTGTTTCCTTTTTCGTCGGAGTATGTTCACCGGAGAACTATTATTTTTTCCACGTATGTCGGTGAGAGACATGAGTTTGTAGAAATTCTGGATCTTGAGCGTTTCCTCGGATAAAGTTTCGTGAGGGCAAAATGGGATTAACAGTTTTTGCACAGTGAAAAAACTACCCTAATAGCAGAAAGTGTTTTAATATGTAATAAAAAGTGTAAAAGTGTCTTATTGCGTAAATAACTTTAACTACTTGCCCATACTAAAAAAAATAACTCACACATGTGGAATGGCCAAAATGTAAGAAAAAAAAATACTCGCACGTGTGGGATTGTCTTTAGTTCTCAGTTTCTCACGTACGAACACAAACTCAGCGAAACAATGAACTAAACAAAAACCCCTTTCTGTCTTTAGGACACAAAAGGAGAAGACTGTAGAGATCCCTTTTTACGATTCTTCGTTCATAGTTTCTGAGTCTTCAGGTATGCGTTGAGAATTAGGGTCTCAATTCAACGATGGGAACCAATCAAGCCTCTTCCCGATTCGATACATTAGAGATCAAATCCCTAATGTACCGCCAAATAGGTACTCAAAGAGCCGACACTTACTTCCACAACCTCACAAGATTCCTCACCTCAAAGATCACAAAGTCAGAGCTCGACAAACTCTGTCTCAAAACCATCGGTAAGCAAAACATCCCACTTCACAACCGTCTCATACGTTCCATAATCAAGAACGCAACTCTCTCCAAGTCTCCTCCTTTAAAATATCCCAAGAAAAAAGGTGGAAACTTTGTTAGATTGAGTAATGGGAATCAGAGGAAGTTCAGAGATAGGGCAAGCCCACTTGGGAAACAGACTCAGAGTGTTGTCACTACTACCACAAGTGGTGCTACTGAGTTGTTGGTTTCTTTAGGGAGTAGACCTCCTTTGGATGTTGAGGAAGGTGAAGAGGTTGAGCAAGTAGCTGCTGTTACTGCTCCTTTTGGTGTTGATGTGAATCTTAGAAAGTCTGTGTCTTGTACTAGTTTCAGTTTCAACAGTGAGAGTTGTCTGAGGAGTGGTGAGTTGCCTGATACGAGGACGTTGAGGAGGAGATTGGAGATGAGGTTGGAGAGGGAAGGGGTTAAGGTGTCTATGGACTCTGTTAGTGTTTTGAATTGTGGTTTGGATGTGTTTATGAGGAGGTTGATTGAGCCTTGTTTGAGTTTGGCTAATGCTAGATGTGGTGGGAATGGATTAGTGGGAGAGATGAGTTTACAGAAGGCAGAGCAAAGGAGAAGGGTTTCTTCGTGTGTGTCTATGTATGATTTTCGTGTTGGTATGGAGCTGAATCCGGAGGTTCTTGGTGGAGAATGGCCTTTACTTTTGGAGAAGATATGTTCTCATGGTTTAGATGAGTAAAAGTTTAGCAGAAGGGACATAGTTTAGGTTACTCTATACATGATTCTTTCCTGGGATTGGTTTTGTTCTTTTGGTTTGGTCTGAGCCATTAGAAAGTAAAAAGTTTTTTAGATGGTTCAAGTTTTCAAGAGAAGAAGTTGGGTCTTTGGTGTTGTACAAGTTCTTATAGTAGAGTGAGATTTTAAGTAGAGGCCTCCATTGGCTATACCTGAACCTATAGATTCTTTGATGGAATTTTTGTGTGTTTGGTTTGGTCTTGAGCCATTGGGAAGTAAAAAGTTGTTGAGATGTTTCAGTTTTTAAGCTTTGAGAAGAAGAAGAAGTTGGGTCGTTGGTGTTGTACAAGTTCTTATAGTAGAGTGAGATTTTAAGTAGAGGCTATGTTGTTTCACTCTCCTTGCCAATTTTTTCCTTTGTTTGCTCTCTGATGTAAGAAAATTAATAATGAAAGCAAAAAGGAACATTTTAACATTCTGAATAGTTGTCTGGTCAAAGTTTATACTAACCAATATTTTTCACTAACTACTACATGAAAGCAAAAGGGAACATTTAACATTCTGAATAGTTGTCTGGTCAAAGTTTATACTAACCAACATTTTTCACTAACTACTACACAAAAGTATAAAATTAACCCTTTCTCCATTTTCATCCTATTTTTTCCTTTGTTTGCTCTCTGATGTTAACAAAAATAATAATGAAAGCAAAAAAGAACGGTTATATTTCTTGAATAAGACTTGTCTGAATAATTGTCACTAACCAAGAAACTTACATTTTTCACTAACTACTACATAAAAGTATAAACTTCCAATCTGAGTTTAAATCTAAGAATACTAGCAAACATTGATAATACTCTTTTACACTTTACTCTCTGAAATCTAGAGAGGTAATCATCAAAGAATATTGAAGAAGGCTTTGCTTCCCTTTGAGCGTGTAAAAAGTGTTTGCAACAGAGTTTTTTTTAGCTTGCAATGGGAGTTGGTTTCTCACGCCCTGCCATGTAAGTTACATAGATTGTCCACAGATACGAAAACGAGTTACTCACAAGTGGCTGCATACAAAAAAAAAAAAAAAACACATCATTGAGTCATCATATATAACCCAAACTCCAGAAATAATAAATAACTGTCTTGAACCATCATTGAGTTATGTACCTGTAAATGAACTGGAACGAACTTGAATGTAATAAAATCACACATAGGCCAATACATAACACCGTTCCTCATCGTTGGAAGTAAATCTCTTTTCAATCTAGCAATTATCTCTGTACCATTTTCACCTGAAAAAAAAAAAAATTAAACCTTTTAAGACAAGCCTAGGATTTTGGAACCATCTAATATTTTTTTTGTTCCTTCCAACTTACCTTGTAAGGCTGCATTCAACGAGAAGAAGATAACACTCATGGTAGGACCATAAACCGTCTGTGCCATGGCCATTTTCTTAAACGTTGTGATCAGATCTCTCTTTGGGAAGAGTCTTGACATAAGATTGAACCAATAGTGAAGTGTTGGACCTAAGATTAATAAACCATAACCAGCCATTCTTGCTGTTCTCACCAAGTCATAAGACTCTGAAGAAGCTTGTGGTATTGTCTGTAAAAAAACATCCAAAATTCATTACATCTTAAGTCTCATTATTCAATAAGCACACAACAATCTAACTAACCTGTGAAGTCAAATCAGCGGCTATGTAAATAAGCGAGCACGTGACGGATTTAGTCAGAACAGGACGCGTTTTCAACATACCAAGATACCATTCCATGAACCTCGCCTTGGTAAACGACGCCGTAGAGGCTGTCGTGGAGGAAGAAGAGCATAAACGAGAGATCAGTGAATGAGAAAGGACACTGGCTTCCTTTGATCTCCCGAGAAACTGTGGCGTGCGAAAATAAGGTCTCGGCTGAAATCTCCGGATGTCTCCACGTGGTAAGAGATCGAGCTTTCCGACAGGATTCAACGTGTGTGAACGTAAGATCCGAGCGGCGTCGGAGGCAGCGTTTCTGAACAATGCGCCGGTCATGGTTGTGAAAGAGCTCCGAGGGTTTCGGGGGAAGGGTTTTGTATTTAACGGCGGAGGAGAAAGAAGAAAAGAAGAAATAGAACAGAGAGGTCTCTGTTTTTGTAATAAAGAAAAGAGTTAATCAGATGCAATATTTTCGCGAGTATACGTATGTGTTTCTACTCGCGGCTTATACCATAAGTCCATAATATTCCTTAATAAAAAATATTGTATGTACTGCTTTTTCTAGAGACATTGAAGAGTTTCCCAGATCTTCCAACAGAAAATGACATCAACAATATATTGTGCATATATAATAACTGATCCCCTATATATTATTTGAGAAGCATTACAACATTCTTTGGTAGTCACGTGTCAGCATGAGAATGCTTCTCAAATTTACTAGAGAAAAATGTTGGTTCATATAAACATATAATATACTTTTTATTAGCTTAAACATAACACTATTATTAATGCTATTCATTATTTCCTTAAATAAAATTTACGGAATTACCTAATATGGTTACAATATATATATGACAATTAATGATTTGAATATGAAGATTTAATAAAACAAATTATAGCATCTACTATTTTTGTTAAATTTAATTATAAAAATAAATTAAACAATAACATTAACTATATAACAAAAAATTATATTTTTATATATGTTATATTTAAAATTTTTAAAAACGACTATAAATTAATAAAACACTGAAAATTTTCAATTATAATATTTTTGATTAATAGTTTAAATCTCCTATATGTTGGAGCATTACAACATTTTTTGGTAGCCACGTGTCACAATGAGAATGATTTTCATAACTCTTAGAGAAATATGTTGGTCCAACTAAACATACGTTTATTTTTATTATACCAACTATCATATTTAATTAGTAGTATAGAAAAAAAGATTTTTTATTCTTTTCTTAAATAAAAGTTTCGTAATTACCTAATATGATTAACATATATATCACAATTAATGTTTATGAATAATAAATATTTGATAACAATTTTTTATACTCTTTATGTTTTATATAATTTATATTATTAAAAGAAATTAAAAATCACATTAATTATATAATAAAAAAAAAATATATTTTTTCTTATACGTTATATTTTAATTTTTTTTAAAACGACCATAAATTACTTAAAATGGTAAAAATCTCACATTGAAATTTTGTGATCAATGGTAACGATTTTAGTTCAGCCAATCGTTTTTCTAATGGGTCTTAAACAGTTCATAATGATTAACTAAATGGATCACCCATAATAGAGTGTGTTTTGTTTAAAATTTTTGCATACCCAAAATCAATATGAACCATCATGCCTTTCTTTTTAATTTTTGGTATAATAAAAAAATATATGGTTGGACAAAAAAAACTAAATCCAAAAAAACGAACCAAATCTAACCCAAAAATAAATACAAATTTTTAAGCAAAATTGGTTAGATATCCAAGCGAATTTGAAATTTTGGTATCTAGATAATCAAAACTGAATCGAAAAATTTCGGGTATCCGAGTGTACTCGAACTANATGTTTTAAAAAATTCTAAAATACTTAGAAATATGTAAAATAGTTAAATGCAAATTTCTAAAATAGCCAAACGATACTCTAAATACCAAAAATATTTGAAATATTTATTGATTTTTTGTCCAAATATTTATGATAAATCAATTTTATGTTAACTTTAAGTATTTTGTCATTCATTTTTCAAATTTATGTTATATATTATTTCTACTTTTAGGTTTTGAAAAACTTAAAGTATATATGAATTTTAATCTTTTTTATAAAAAATTAAATGGGTTATGCGAACTTAAACCCAATCTAAACCTGTAAAAATTCAAACCAAACCGCAATGGTCTAAACCAAACATAATCTAACCGAACCAAATAGTACCTAAATGTCTATATTGATAGCAAAATATATATTTAAATACAATATATTTTTAAAAAGCTCACTCCGCGCATGGCGCGGGTTATCATCTAGTAATAAGCTATTACACATGTTATACAATATCGTCATTGTTTCCGTAATAAGCTTCATCGTTCTCGGCCAAGGAATATACACTGGAGGGTACATGTATTTTTTAAAACATACCTATTACACATGTTTAAATCCAATTAATTTTATGGATGCACACATATGTACATTATAATATTTAAATCAATTATCAAATATGTAAAAAAATATTATATAAATATATCATCCCGTGCAAAGCACGGGTCTCATTCTAGTTTATTTATTATAACATGACAATACATTGATTAGCAACTCAATATATTCAGAAGGTCAAAATCCTAAATTTAGTTTTTAACTCACTTGTGTCAATAATCTCTTTTTATTATGGTCTTTGCTCCAATGAAAATATGAAAACGAGGTGTCACTTGTATCAATAATCTCTTTTTTATTATGGTCTTTTATCCAATGAAAATATGAAAATTGAGGTGAGTTCATTAGAGAAAATTGTACCTTATAAAATTGTGTAAATTAGATACACAACATAAATTGTTATGAAGAGTGTAAATTCATCCTGCAAAGCGCGTGACCCCGGAAAATTGGACGGGTCAAAACCAAACGTCCCCAAACTATTATTAGGTTGTGTAGTTTACTTTGGATTGTCTAGAAGTCGAGTTCACATTGGCTCCGTCGATGTCATGGTCTCTGACACGTACAAACTTTACTCTGTGACACTAACCTTTAGCACCAGCCACGTGTTAGTACCACATTCCCAAATTTGAGCCACTTGTTCACGTATTTTTTCTTTTGACCAAAGTCGAAGCCCAATAATCTTAGCCCAGTCAGTAAAACCCATTATTTTCTGTTCACTCTTATTTTAAATTCTACAGAAACATTGGAATTGGAGAAAATGCTAAAACAATAAAAATCTCATATTGTGACCAAAAGAAATAAAATACGAAGCTCATAGCAGCCAATGTCTGAACGATAATACTCCATCTACTCATATAATTTCTGATTTGAAAATATATAGAATTAACATCTCAATACAACTTTTATATTTATTAGATATTATTTGACCAATAAAACAACATAAACTATTTCGTAACTAGTTGAACTTATATACATTCTCCATTCCAAAAATAAATATTTTGTAAAATATTTACGCATATTAAAAATATAATGAATGTTTATAATTAAATTTATTATTTAACTATATTATACAGTATCCAATAACTATTAACCAATGCTATACAAAAAAACTACTAAATAATACTTTTCAAAAATTAACAACTCTTAATGTCAGTGTTTTAGCTGAAATAAGAATTAGTAGTTAACATCTTTGTTAGAAATCATGAATATGTATATACTCCTTCCATATAAGTAGTTTTAGTAGTTCCTTTTTGAGAATGTAAGTTGTTTTCAACTTTCAATGCAAAAAGTTATTAGTTAAAACAATATTTAAATAAAAAGTTAAAAGCAAAATGTTAATATTATTTACCATTGGTCATTATTTTCCTTAATTAAATGTTAGAGATAAAAAGTACTTTAAAATTGTGTGTTTTAATCAAAATTACTTATAATTTAAAATATAAAGATATGATTCTCAGATACAAACATGTTTATCAATGGTTTTATAGCTCTTGATAATCTCTAGTGGATTATTCATTCTCAGACACAGGTCAAAAATGATTAGTCATTTTTAAAGATAATTTCTACACAAAAACTCATTTTATTTTCATCAATTGCACACTAGATGCACTATTCACATTTTCTTTCTTATTCCAAACTTAATTTTAGGATATACGTGAATTTCATGTATTAGTATGATAAAGGTTAAATCTACATGATTGGTGGGGAAGGAGATGTGTTTTCGAAGCTGATGATCATGATCTCTGTCACTCATGCATGGACATAGACAAGTGAGATGAGTCAATCTATGATGGCTAAATATCGGTCTTTTTGAATAGTCAATGATTTAGTTGTAGTCGTTGACCAAAGGGGAATATCTGCGTTTGGTTGTTTTCAATTGGTGATAGACGTGGAAGCAAACAATTGTTCAACTTGAAAAACTGTTCATGGAGTTCTCAGCTCTCTCTTCTGGCTCCTCCTATTTTCTCCACACAAACAGTCTGCACTGATGGAGGCCTGATCGTGAGAATTTATAGAGTAACCTAAACTATGTCTTTTCCTTTGACAAACATCTTAAGAGAAATCTTATTGGTAAGTTTTTTATTTTAAGGTCCTTACTTCTTAGAAAAAAAAATACGGAGAAAAAAAGAAACAAAGATTTTTTTGTTATTATTTTAATTTAATACAAATAGCTGATTAAATTTTAATTGTTTTAAGTAAAAGAATTCAGTCATAGTTTAACAAGTGAAAAAAGAAGTTCTAACGAAATTATAAAAAGTCCTGCACCGAGATGGCTAGCCCTTGACACTGGCCAAGTGGATGCAAACTAGTTTGTTTTGTTATCTTTCGAAGTAAAAAATCAAAACTATTTAAACCTTAAAACTCAGTTTAAATGAACTCCATCGTTGCTACTTTCACCACCTAAACTAGTATATTTCTTTTGGTTCCACAAAATGTGTTATCATTGGTTAGCAAGAAATGAAAGAGGTTACGAAAAGTTTGCCATGGACTCTTTGGTACATGTGAAAGAATAGGAATTTCTTGGTGTTTGAAGGGTTTCGTTTAGTGAGCAAAATTGCAAAAATGCTGAAGAGGAAGCTCAGTTATGGTATTTAGCTCAGGATTTAGGCGGGAGGAATACAAACGATCGTAGGGATCTATCAACTCAGGCTTCAAGAGCTTGGAAATGTCCTTCGGAGATTTTCAGGTGCTGCATGGGTCCTAAAAGACTCAAGAGGAGTGGTGTTACTCCATAGTCAAAGGTCTTTTGGGTAGGCCGAATAGAAAGTTGAAACTCAATTTCTTAGTGTGGCATGGGCCATTGAAAGCTGTCTGAGGGTGTAATTTTCACTTGAAGGAAAGATGTTTGTTGACGCAATAAACAAACCCAAAACTTGGCATTCCTTCAAATTTAAAGTATTGGAAATCAGATTACTACTAAGGGATTTTTTTGGAGTAACGGGTGTTGTCTGAACCTTATGAAGCAAATACATGAGCTCGCTTGATAGATAGCTACTAGTGCTTGGAAAACGTTTGTAACATTTTGGTCTTAATGATAAATACTTCAGATGGCAAAAAAAAATGTTATTGGTTACTAACTGTGTTATAAGAAAATCTGGAACACATGCATGTGCCGATGTATAGCGTAAACGTATTTGGAAAACATTATTATGAACACACCAAAATTTTTGGGAAACATGTTTCCATCAAAAGAGTCCAACAATTTGTGCCAATGTGTTTTATAGTTGCTGCCGCGTATCTTCATACAAGTCTGTCCACGTCAGTTTCTTAACTAGATTATGCAACTTGCAATTAAATTTAAGCTAATTACTATATCCACCATTTTGATCTAATCTATACAACAAAAGACAGAATTTGACTAGAAATACATATTGTCATTAATCTGAAAGCGTCATGATAAAACAAAATTAATTATTATACCCACATCATACAAATCCATCCACACCAGTTTCTTAATTACACTGAGGCAACTTCTTTTGTGATTAACATAATAAAATGCCCAACTTGCGATTAAATTAAAACTAATAAGTACTACATTCACCATGTTGATCAATTCTATAGAACAAACACACAAAGAGAGTTTGACAAGTATGCTGAAAACCGTATAAAACGTGACAGAAAAATGTAGAATAGTCTAAAGTCTCTAAATACAACCCTAAGATAAGTAGATTAGCCAGAAATTGAAATCAGTAGTTATCCATCTTTCTTAGCCGACAAGCAAATGTATATCACATACACGTTGGCTACAGCTTTACTCATTCTCTTATTACAACATTTCCCTACTAATAGTGTCCTTAATTAAATATTTACTAGTTTCCATTAGTTGACAAAATCATGCCAAAAAAAAAGAATTTACTTACAGAACTACCTGTAACTTGTAAGGAAACAATCATGAGATCCGCCGCATTTGCATTCCGTATCATCTGAACAAAATCAAATAGTCACTAATTAATTTCTTATGTTTTTGATTCTGTACATACTCTTTGACATGAGTTTTGATTTATACGGGCGCCTATTTAATTTATTTTATTTTATTTTATCATCAGTTGGATTGATAAAGTCTAATCCATAATCAACTCTAAACACACAAGAATATACGATTTAGTGAAACTAAAATTCCAATGGAAATATCTCAAAGGTAGATATTTAACTATTTAACTAAAAGATACTTCCCCCATATAAATTTCGTTTGAAGATTGACGGTGCAAATTTGTCATATACACGTAAACATTGTACACACCAAATATATAATTTTCTCTAAAATAAAAATAAAAAGTAGCAGCTGTTGATTTCAGATGGAAAAATTGATGAGGCATCAAATTTTAGATATTTTTTGTTGGACCACTTTTTAATTCTTCTATAAGAAAAATATTTATTAAAAAATATAAAGAAAAATGACGTTTTATGGTTTTTATTTGTCCGTCCAAAAACTTTGTTTATTTCCAGTGAAAAAAAAGTCAATGGGAGGTGGAAAATAAAGAAACAACGCGCTGAATAAAAAATAAAAAATAAAAAAAAAGATTGAAAAAGCCCACCAAATAAGGAAAACGACCCGTAGTCTACGGACGTATATAAGAAACAACAGAACACAAAGTCATCTCTCTCATATTATTCTTCCTTCTCAACGCGGCTTTCCCTCAAAAACACATTCCCTTAAAAAAAACCAATCAAACATAATCAAAACCGATTCTAAACCGATCTAAACCGGTTGAATCAATTTCAATTTCACTCTCTTAGAATCACCTAAAACCGTAGATGTTGCGAGCTTTAGTACGGCCTCTCGAGCGTTGGTGCTCAGGAACCAAATCGAGCGGCGATGCTTTACTGTGGCAATCGGAATTGAGACCACACGCCGGCGGAGAGTATTCGATCGCGGTGGTTCAAGCCAATTCGAGATTAGAGGATCAGAGTCAGGTGTTCACGTCTTCCTCCGCTACTTATATCGGAGTCCACGACGGACATGGAGGACCAGAAGCTTCTAGATTCGTTAACAGACATCTCTTCGCTTATATCCACAGTAATAATCACATCTTCTCATCTCGTACCGAAGAAAATCGGTTTCATTAAATTATACCGAAGATTTTGGTTTTTAGTTCAATTGAGCAGAATTCGGTTTATTTCGGTTTGAATTTTAGTTAGTTAGGATATTAGTTGCCGAATTGAACCTAAGTTTTTGGTTTTCAGTTAAATTTTCGGTTTAATTGAATAACATTCAAACTGTTTGGTTAAGTGTGTTTATTTCGGTTTGAATTTTAGTTAGTTCGGATATTAGTTGCCGAATTGAACCTAAGTTTTTGGTTTCAGTTAAGGTTTCGGTTTAAATTGAATAAAATTCGAATTAGTTTGGCTAAGTTTGTTTATTCCGGTTTGAATTTTAGTTTGTTCGGTGTTTAGTTGCCGAATTGAACCGAACTTGAAGTTTTTGGTTTTCACTTAAATTTTTGGTTTAAATTGAATAAAGTTTCGAATTGTTTTGGTTTTCGGTTTGACTTTTACCAAACTTGAAGTTTTTGATTTTCATTTCGGTTTAAATTGAATAAAATTCGAATGGTTTGGTTAAGTTCGGTTATTTCGGTTTACATTTTAGTTAGTTCGGATTTTAGTTGCTGAATTGAACCGAACTTGAAGTTTTTGGTTTTCAGTTAAATTTCTCGGTTTAAATTGAATAAAATTTGAATTGTTTTAGTTAAGTTTGGTGGTTTAGGTTTGAATTTTAGTTAATTCGGTTTTTAGTTGCCGAATTGAACCGAACTTGAAGTTCTGGTTTTCAGTTACATTATCGGTTTAAATTGAATAAAATTCGAATTGTATTGCTTAAGTTCGGTTATTTCAGTTTGAATTTTAGTTAGTTCAGTTTTTTGGTTACCAAATTGAACCGAACTTTCAGTTTGGCATGTTCAGATCGGTTAGGCCTATTCTCACCATTCCAATACAGAAAGATTCCATATTTGCTACAAAATAATCTGATCTTTTTCTTGTAATTTGCAGAGTTCGCTAAAGAAGAAGGAGGACTCTCTGCAGATGTGATAAAAAAAGCATTTAAAGAAACCGAAGAAGATTTTTGTCATATGGTTCAACGGTCCTTACCGTTGAAACCACAGATGGCTACTGTAGGGACTTGCTGTCTCTTTGGTGCTATCTCTGATGGTACACTGTACGTTGCTAATCTTGGAGACTCTAGAGCAGTTCTTGGGAGAGTTGTCTCAGGGGTTTCTGTAGCTGAACGGTTAACTACTGATCATAATGTCGCTGTTGAAGAAGTTAGAAAGGAGGTTAAGGCACTTAACCCTGATGATTCTCAGATTGTTATGTATATTCGTGGCGTTTGGAGGATTAAAGGCATTATTCAGGTATATAACATATAGTTTTTTTTGTTTTCTTTTTTTGTCTGATATGCATAAGAGGTGTAGTCTAATGTAAGTTTGATGTAAATGGGGACTTGTAATGTTCCAGGGATCCGTTACAACGGGCTCCTGCAACGTTTCTTCCCCAGTGTTATCAGGTCTACATGATAATGAAGAGACATGTAATTGAGTCAGAGCTTTGTGGTATATTAGTTAGCTAAATTGGTTTCTTTATGTGCTTCTTTATAGGTATCTAGGTCAATTGGTGATGTATACTTGAAGAAACCAGAGTTTTACAGAGATCCTATCTTCCAGCAACATGGAAACCCTATTCCTTTGAGGAGACCTGCAATGACAGCTGAACCTTCTATTATAGTAAGGAAGCTTAAGCCACAAGACTTGTTTCTGATATTTGCATCAGATGGTCTCTGGGAACATCTTAGTGATGAAACAGCCGTAGAGATTGTACTTAAACACCCAAGAGCTGTAAGCTTTTGCCTCCCTAAACTCAAAGCGTTTGCTCTTTTGTGTCGGCTACTTTTAAAATTTCTAACTCTTTTTTGGTCTACAGGGGATTGCACAAAGACTTGTTAGAGCAGCTCTGGAGGAAGCTGCAAAGAAGAGAGAAATGAGGTATGGAGATATGAAGAAAATCGCCAAAGGAGTTCGAAGACATTTCCATGATGATATTAGCGTGGTTGTTGTTTATCTTGATCAACACAAACCGAAGAATGGTAAACTGATCCAGCAAGGAGGCGTCACAGCTCCATCGGATATCTATTCGCTACGCTCAGATGAAGCTAAGCATAGACGGCTAGTCAATGTGTTATACTGACTCTCTGATTATGGTTTTGGAAAAGATCCATATAGGAAAGAAAACTTGTTTACATATTTGTTTAATCTTTCACGAAGAATGTATGTTCTTGTTATATATTGGAGTTGGGATTTGTATATTCTTTTACCATTAAAGAACGAAACCCTTTTCTTTTTGGGAGAGATGTGTTTACAGTACTTATAACAAAGCAGATAGGTTTCTTCATGTGTCTTTTGTGTTGTACAAGTTCTTATAGTAGAGTGAGATTTGTCAGTAGAGGCTTCAAAGTAAACGCCATTTTGTTTAGTGCATTTGATTTCTAATGAAATCAATTTCACTTCTTAAAAAGACTTGTCTCAGTAGCTGTCTGGTCAAAGTTGATAGTAACCAAAGAAACTCACATTTTTTAGTAACTGATAAATACAAGTATGAACGCTATGCTGAGATAAATCTAAGTGTGCATGGCACACATTGGTAACATGTCCAGTTGCATAGATTTTCCAAACCTCATTTACATTTTACTCTCGGTAATCTATAGATATGAAACAAAGAATGTTGTAGAAGGCTCTGCTTTCATTTCTTCATATTTGACTAACATATAATTAATTGTAAACTACGCAAACATATAGGCTACCCATATCGAGCTGTCAAGCTGGCCTGTTCGACATGAGGTCCAAAACAATAGCAAAACCCGCACAAATGAAACGATGTGCTCTTTAATAAATGAAACGGTGAGTTTTTGAGAAGGGAGACACAGGTCGGTTTCTACTGCACCCAACTGATGACATATTTCTATAAGGAAAGAGACAAAGTTTCATGGTGTTATTTAATAATGTATTTTAATAGAGTTCAAATCTAAATACAATCATCTGTTATTCAAATGATGATTCTAAATTCTGTTTTAAAATCTAGTGTTATTCAGTGAATGATTTAAATTTAGTTTTTAAAATCTAATGTTATTCAATGAATGATTTAAATTTAATTTTTAAAATCTAGTGTTATTCAACTTTTAAAGAATTTAAAATTCTTTGTATTTTGAATTGATTTCAAATCATTTCCAACGAATTCTCATGAACAACTAACTGAATTCAAAATCCAAAACATACTGCAGAGATTTAGGTGGTGTTATTCATTGATGTATTTTAATAGAGTTTAAATCTAAACACAATCCACTGTTATTCAATTGATGATTCTGATTTCTATTTTAAAATCTAGTGTTATTCATTGAATGATTTAAATCCAGTATTTAAAATCTAGTGTTATTCATTGAATGATTTAAATCCAGTATTTAAAATCTAGTGTTATTCAACTTTTAATGATTTTAAAATTCTTTGTATTTTGGATTGATTTCAAATCATCTCTTGTGAATTTTTATGAACAAATGAATGAATTCAAAATCTAAGGCCTACTGCAGAGATTTCAAAATNAAATCTAGTGTTATTCATTGAATGATTTAAATCCAGTATTTAAAATCTAGTGTTATTCAACTTTTAATGATTTTAAAATTCTTTGTATTTTGGATTGATTTCAAATCATCTCTTGTGAATTTTTATGAACAAATGAATGAATTCAAAATCTAAGGCCTACTGCAGAGATTTCAAAATTCATCAACTTAAACTTTCTTAAGATTTTAAAATTTGATAGATTATAAAACATTAATCATTGATTTGAAATCACTGATTGAATAACACCCCCTTAGAATCTATCAACTTAACTTTCTTAAAATTTAAAATTATGATGGATTACAAAACATTAATAATTGATTTAAAAACACTCATTGAATAACACTCTATTTTATATATAAAGATTTAGCAGTTGACTGGGTCTTTGATTTTTCAGTTTATAATAAATAAAATAAGGCAAAATGCTTTAATGTAATCTCTCTTTTAAAAAAATTAGAAATTGGATTCTTTTTTGAACTTTAGAAATTGGATTCTTATTAAAAAGAATATGGTCTTAATTAAGATTTTGATGGGATGACATTAATGCAGTAGTGCATTTACTTTTAGTTATCTAAATATATTTTCTTCTTTTAAGAAACAATATTTGCAAATACATATCTATTTTATATAAAAGGGGAGTGCCATTTGCTCTAAACCCAAAAAAAAAACATAAATTTATCTTCACCAAACGAAGAGCGAGAAAGAAATGTATGCACAAAAGTCTGAGTTTACATCTCTGCTTTTCATTTTCTTAATTGCTTCTCTTCAGTTTTCTCAATCATCTGGTAATATTTAATTAATATAAAAAATGCTAGATAAAATTAACTAATCCTGATTGTTTGTTCCAAATATTTTTTCAGCCGAATGTCTGTTCCTAGGCCCATGCAAAACTAATGCCGACTGCAGAAACTTATGCAGGAAAGACCCTGGGGTAGATCCAACATTCCTGTTGTGCCTTAACGGTCCTCCGTACCAAAACAAATGTTGTTGTAGATGTAAACCAGGGTTTCAAATAATTAAAACCAAATGTACATATATATGATACATCGATATTTTGTATCTACGTAATGGGTAGTATTCTAAATTTTAAATTATTTTTTATTACAAGCCATCACTTACAATTTTTTTATATTACAATATTTTGTGTCATGCATGATGAGTAGTAATTTGTATCATGCATGATAATACAAAAGCTTTGGAAAGATGATTAGTTATTGCTTCCTCTTCTCACTGATGTGTCATCTTTAATTACTGATAGATTATTTGTCACAATTTTAAAATTTCACATCTATTTAAATGAACATGAATCCTAGCCTAAATCCTTAAATGGTTCAAGCGTGAAGAGCTTAAGCGGTCTGAAATAATGTATGGCACACAATACAGTGGCACACAAGCTTTAGTTTACCTGCACATGACAAGAGTATCAAACTATATATATATATTTCACCATTAATTATATTTTCCTTTTTTTCTGAAAATACACCACTATATTTTCTTCAACATAGTTTATGTTTTTTTTTTTGGTTATTTAACTATTTCTGCTATGCTATTGTACAAACTTTATAATCATATTGAGTGGAAACTGTGAGTTTGTAAATTATTCATACACACAAAAAATATTTTTATTCATTTAACACTAGTAAACAATATAACACTTACTTCAACATGGATTAAAGTCTTTAAACCAATCTCTAACCTAAATCTGACCTAAATCCAAATAACCTGACTTGAATCTGACCAACGATATATAACATATGAGTTAAATATAAAAAATGTTGTTTTTTGCTTAATTTTCCAGAAAATGTTGATCACACGTTTTTTTGCAGCGAGGAATAAAAAATCCATAATTTTCAAGTGAATTTTTTTTGCTCATAATATTTCTTTTGTTGTTTGAGAAGATGCCGGTGATGAAAATTACATCCTCTATATATTAATTGAGAAGCATTACAATATGTTTTGTTAACCATATGTTATCATGAGAATGTTTCTTAAATTTATCAGACAAAATTTTGGTCCATATAAACATATAATATACTTTTTATTAAATTAACCATAACACTATTATTAATGATATTTTTATTTCCTTAAATAAAATTTACGAAATTACCTAATACTGTTATAATATATATATGACAATCACTAATTTGAATAAGAAAAAATTGATAAAAATGGTATAGCCTCTACTTTTTTGTTAAATTTATATTGTGACAATAAATTAAATAATAACATTAACTATATAACAAAAAAAATTATTTTTTATATATGTTATATTTGAATTTTTAAAAACGATTATAAATAAGTAAAACATTTGAAATTTCACATATAATATTTTTTGATTAATAGTTTAACTTCTTTTTGTTAGAGCACTATAGAACAATTATATAACTAATGAGTAAGAAATATCAATTAATAGATATCCAAAATAGATATATACATATATATATATATATATTAATGATGCTAAAATTAAATTATATGCCATTTAAAAATGCATAAATATTTAATTCTGAAATTGCATTGAACAAGAACTTAATACTTTAACGACAAACTTTGAATTTAATTTTTTTAAACGATGATAAATTAATGTGAATATTAGATCTCTCATATTAAAAATGATGTTATAAAAATATAAAAATGATCATAAAATCATAACTGTGAAAGCTTCATTTATTAGATAGCCAAATTAAAAGTATAATATATATATATATACATGTCAATATCATTTATTAATTAGATTTATTTATATAAAGTAATTGTAAATAAATAATTATAATTATTTTATTTAAGTGGTTGTACTAAATTAATTGTATAGATAATTGTTACATATTTCTTAATTATTAAATATATATATATTTATTATTTTATAATATATAAAAGAACAGAAAATAAAAAATACCACATAAAATAATTTATATATAATTATCATCTTGAACAAATGCGCGGGTATCAAACTAGTTTATTATTATTATGATATTTAAACGGTTACATACATAAAGAGTTTGAGTTGGTTGATGATATATGAGTAACCTTTTAAAAAAATTATAAAAACTTTAACAAAAAAATATATGAGTAACCTTTTCAAAAAAGGTATATATATATATATTAGATGTATTTATATTTATTTACTAGATTTTTGATCCGCGCTTAAAAAGCGCGGATGGGTACTATTTTTGTTGTTTTGTCTATAGATGAATCGATAAGTCTTTTGCTTTGATGATATAAAATGTCACAGAATCAAGATCAAGTTATCATACATGTATTAAATTTTTTTTATTTTACAACTAAGTGTTTTGCCCGCACTTGCGGGCACAATTCTCTTATAAATTTTATTAGTTGATATTTTGTTAATTTAAAAATCGGCATAATAAGTTATTTTATGTTTTCAAAAAGTACAAATCAAACATCAAATAATTATCAATAACAAAGCTCAAACATCAGAAATATGTAAAAGAATATATTTCTATAATTATTTTGCTTGATTTATATTTAATTCGAGTATTTATACAAATATTTTACTTAATTTATAATTATAGATTTTTATATCTTAATTTTAAAATTTATAATAGAAAACATATTTTCAAGATAAAAATATATTGCATAAGTTATTTATTTTCTAACAATATAATATGATAATTGTTTTTAATT